TTGATAACTTATACTAATCAGATCACTACTACTCTGTACCATATTATAGGTCAGAGGTTTCTTCATCAGATTGTTGTTTGAGATTGTTGCTCATCAGAGCTGTGTGAAGAAGTGACATTCGAGAGCGTTGAAGCTAACAGTTGGCTAAGCCGTGCAGAAAAAGACCACCTGGGGAAATCAGGTGTAGGTGAGTACAACGGCGCAAGCCAAAAACAGAGCTTCAACGAGCTTCTGAGAACTAAGAACACACCTGGGGAAATCAGGTGTAGGTGAGTACAACGGCGCAAGCCAAAAACAGAGCTTCAACAAGCTTCTGAGAACTAAGAACACACCTGTGCGTTTAGCAACAGGAAAAAGGTGATCAAGTGAGATTTGATAGGGAGAATGTAAGTAAAAATTAATAGTTTCTTTCCAATCATTGTAAAGCATGAATACTAACCTGGGGAAATCAGGTGTAGGTGAGTACAACGGCGCAAGCCAAAAACAGAGCTTCAACGAGCTTCTGAGAACTAAGAACACACCTGAATTCACACACACATTAGTACGAGAAATAAAAATGAAATAGTAGAGGAAAAGAGAAAACAGACAAACCTGTGCGTTTAGCAACAGGAAAAAGGTGATCAAGTGAGATTTGATAGGGAGAATGTAAGTAAAAATTAATCTGAAGGTCGACGATAAAATGTAAGTATGTGGTAAAACAAGTTGCAATAGTTTAAAGAGAAAGACCACTTACAGTTTCTTTCCGATGAGGAAAGAAACTGGGTGGTACAACTGTGGTCATTATATATCTAACTTAACTCGTAACTTGAACAAAGTGAATGCTCGGGCCATACTACTCAAATCTCAGGTCACAAGCGACCTATTCCCAAACAGTCACAAAAAGAAAAAGAAATTGTACAATTAATCCCAATCCATATCCTTCTCACTCTTCATTTCCAATTGTCATAACATAATAACTCCTAACTCATCGACCTGAAGGTCTTGACTCATCTTGAACGTAAATAGAAAGTTGTCACATATTTCTTCTCTCAGGAATGGAGACAACAAGGATGCAAATGTGGTATACTAATACCACGACACGCCCCCTCAAGATCTTCAGGGAGAAATGTGCTTGAGCCCCAGCTTTTGACGCAAATAATAGAATTGTTGGCGTCCCAATGGTTTCGTGAGGAGATCTGCTATCATGTCATTAGTGGGACAATGTTTGACAATAAGAGCGCCCTGTTTAACCACTTCCCTGATCCAATGATACTGAATCTCAATATGTTTCGTGCGCGCGTGAAAGATTGATTTGGTTGTTAAATGAATTGCGCCCATGTTGTCACTTCTCAATACCGTAGGATTAGGGTCTTCAAAGCCAAAGCGAGCAAGCATTCCTCGTAACCATACCAGCTCTTGTCCTGCCTCGGTGATAGCTCGATACTCCACTTCAGTGGATGATAAGGCCACCGTAGGCTGAAGCCTCGACTTCCAAGAGATAGGCCCTCCGGCCAGCTGAAAAATGTAGCCCGTAGTAGACCTGCGAGACTCCTTGTCACCAGCCCAATCAGCGTCACAGTGAGAAAGAGGAAAATTGAAACTCTTGAGACCACTGATCGCTGTCGAAGAAGATTGTTCACCATCATAGGAAATCCCCAAGTTGATTGTGCCAAGGAGGTAACGAAACACGTGAATCACAGCATCCCAGTGTTTCCGTGCAGGTGAATCCAGGTGTTGAGAAAGAACGCCTACAGCGTAAGCCAAATCCGGCCGTGTACACTGGGCCAGGTACATCAAGGAACCCACAGCGCTTCGGTAGTTGAGCCCTTCAAGTTTGAAAGCGGAAGCTTCGTCCTCACTAGCACGATAGAGCTTAAGTCCAGCAGGAAAAGGAGTGGACGCTGTTTTCAAATCCAGCATATTGAATCGCTCAAGAACAGCTCGAGAAAGCGCAGACTGAGTGATCGTGTAGCAATGAGGGGCCTGTCGTATAATCTGAATACCAACGACGGTTGTAGCAACGCCCAAATCCTCCATCTCCCATTTCTTACTAATTTGAGACTTGAATGTGGAGATGTCATTTCCGGTAATAGCCATGTCATCGACGTGAACATAGACAGCCGTGAAGGTGTTGGACGTAGCTCGTGTATAGATGCATGGATCAAGTGGACACTGCTCAAAACCAATACTGATCAAGAAGTCGACGACATCATCATACCAAACCTTAGGAGATTGACGTAAGCCGTATAAAGATTTTTGCAAGCGACAAACTTTACGTTTTGAACCAATGACAAAGCCCTCTGGCTGGTACATATAAACTTCTTCTTCCAGATTTCCATTGAGGAATGCGGTAACAGCATCCATCTGGTGGATCTCCCAGCCTTGTAATGCAGCGAAAGCAATGATAAGTCGTAGTGATGAAGGCTTCCCGGTAGGTGAGAATGTCTTGTGAAAGTCAATACCTTCCTGTTGCATATTTCCCATGACAACAAAACGAGCTTTGTACTTGGACACCGTACCATTGACGTGAAACTTCTTTCGGAATAACCAGAAGCCACGCAAGATATTCTTGTCAGTAGGGGGCTCAACAAGTTCCCATACTTCCTTATTAACTAAGGAATCGAATTCTTTCTGACATGCCATCTTCCAAGATTCCGCTTCAGGACCGTTGACAGCGAATTTGTACGACTTAGGAACCGGAACATCAATGGTGGATGCCGAGAAGACTTCTGAAAAAATTGAAAAAGCCGATACGAAAGTGCAGTTTTCAAGATATGCATGACCACCCATGCCAGTGTATTTTACAGGTGCTTTTGTTCGATCCGAACGGCGAGATGGAACCGCAGGAGTAGGAGTTATGAGAGGTACAGTAGAAGGCAGACCCTCCTTGGGATCTGACATAGTTTGTGTTGACTGAGGTAAAGGGAATGCATCATCCTCCTCACTGTCCTCGTTCAGATTTGTTAAAACTTGAAACCGATTCCGTGATTCAACATTTAATGGTGGTGCTACATCTGGGTCGAAACACAGCGGTGAAGAAGTAGAACTCGGAGTAGTCGACGTTGAAAGATAAGGAAAAGTCGACTCTGAGAACGTTACGTTGTGACTAAGAACAATCTTACGAGTTTCCAAATCAAAGATCCGATAGTTAAAATTGTCATCTTGAAATCCGATCAAAACACCTTCTGTAGTTCGCGCAGTGAACTTTCCTTCCCTGACCCCCTTCCTGATCAGTACATGAGCCTGACATCCAAATACCCTCAGATGACCGACACTAGGTTTTCGAAAGTACCAGTATTCAAAAGGCGTTTTACCAGTTGGTAAAGCTGAAGTGACTGTACGATTCATAATAAAAACTGCCGTAGCGCATGCCTCGTACCAAAAACTTTGAGGAACACCTGATTGTATCATGAAAGACCTAGCTCTAGTCGTCACAGTTTGATTGCTTCTTTCCGAAACTCCGTTCTGTTCCGGCGTATAGCTAGCAGTGAAATGGAATACAATCCCCGTATTCTCACAGTACTCTTCCATTATAGCATTGACGAACTCACTGCCTTGGTCCATAGTGAATTGAATGACACGACGACCGGTTTGTCTTTCAGCCAACGCAATGTATTTGAGAAAAATATTAAACACAGACTCTTTTGATTTATTGCTCAATGGAAAAATGTGACGGAAGGAAGAAAAATCGTCGGTAAACAAGATATAATAAGACTCGTTGTGTAGTCCAGTAACACGATTTATACCGCTTAAATCTACGTGAACATTCTGAAGAAATGAAGAACAGCGGGGTCGTGAACCAGAAAACGGAAGCTTCTTGGATTTAGATTTGATACAAACAGGACAAGATGAAGTGGAACTTGGAATAGAATTAGATCCAGTACACAACCCATCCAGACTCCCGTGTTTCACCATTTCATCCAGGTACCTGTGATCTATGTGACCTAGTCGTTGATGTTGCAAATTACACGAGTGAGATTGAGAAACCGGTTGTTGATGACAGACAGAAGAACTCACAGGTTCAAGTGAGACCAGCATGAGATTTCCAGAAAACGCGCCATTAAAAAGCGCACATTGACCCATCACTAGACTGAAGCATTCGGGATCAGAAGAATTAATGATAGTGACTACTCCTTTTTTCAACAAGGCACCTCCAGCAATGAGATTACGACTTAAATCAGGAACATATAAGCAATCTGCTAAGGTGAATATAGTTCCATCACCCGCTTTGAGTTTTACGGACCCAGTCGAGTGAACAGCCAGTGAAGCATCACCACCCGCCAATTTGAGTCGTTTGTTAGAATCTTGTAGAGGTTTAATAGTCGAAGCTTCAAAGAAATTTAAATCATTGAACATGTGATGCGAGGCTCCTGTGTCATTCAAGGCCCAGATACCATCATCGGTTTTAGCTGTAGAAGCGGAGGCATCGAAGTCCACAAATTCGGATCCTTGAGCAGATCGTTCTGAATGAAGATCGAGGACCGAAAGATGTTGAACAGGATAGACCAAAGGTTGAACGGGATAGACTAAATCATGTGGAACAGGAACTTGTATAAAGGCTGAAGATATGTCTACCACCGGGATAACATCTGGAACATTAATAGCTTGAGTCATAGTGGAATCATCGGGTTGGAAATCAATGAGAAAAGTCATTGCATGAGCAGATGCAATAGGAGGTCTAACAATCTTCACTCCTCGAATAGAACTCAAAGCTTCAGTGTGGTTAGCTTGGTGCTGATAGTTTCTTCGTTTGTATTGTTTCTTCTCGTCTTGTTTGTTCATCCATTCATCTCTTTTAGCAAAATTAGCTGGCTTCTTGAAACATTGTTCGGGCTTGTGGGGATTAGAATAAGTATTACCAACACATCACAGCCAACAAAGATGCCTCGGATTGAAAAATCCGAGTTATCATCGGACTCAAATCCTCGGACAAAATCTTTCCGAGGTTTTGATCCGAGGTATTATTTTGCGTCAAAAAATACCTCGAATCAAATCCTCGGACAAGACCTGTCCGAGGGTTTCCATCTGATGATGCCTCGGATTTTTCAATCCGAGGCATCTATGTTGGCGGTGCATCTATCCTCTGTACACTTAACTAGTTGACTGGGATTGGCGTGATAGTTGGATACAAGATGACTGGACTGAGTTAAAGAAGGAGTTACATATTCCTGTTCCTCCTCAGCCATTAACAATTCATTCTTCACCTTTTCAAAAGTAAGAGGCTGGATAACTCGATAAATGATATTCACAGTGATCTCATATCCGGGTTTCAGACTCTTAATTAAGGTACCAGCGACTTGTCCATCGGACATATCTCCTTTGAACTTCCAATAATCACGAAGTAAAGCTGAGAACTTATCAATGTGAACCTTCATGTTATCTGATCTGAGTTGTTTCATGTTTAATAAAGCTGATTCTACATTCTTCAACTTGGCCTCCGAGATACTGGAATGATACTCTTTAAGAAATTTCCATAACATATAAGGATCGTAAGTGATAGACATATCCTTAGTAACAGGATCTCTGACAGTTAAACTATCACGTGCTCGTTCACCGTTGACACCATCACATTTATTAAGTATCCAAGTCGTAAGTAGAAACCTAATTTTCTTATGTTTCTCCTCCGAAAGGGATGTATCTACGTGGTCCTTAATGTCTAAGTATGATTCATAACCTAAAGATTCAATTGATTCATGAATGACAAGATGCCAATAATTGTAATTTTCATCGTTTAAATCATTCTTGATATTGAACTTGCTAAGTAGATTTGTTGTTCGTTGAATAAACATTTGTAGGAGGGTTCAGGATTCGACATTGGTGGAGTTGTCTAAAGACATGATTGCCGAAGATGATTTATAAGATTTAGATGGAGATAACGGTAGATTAGAGGGTAGAACGAGGGGTTTTAAACCAGAAGTATGTTTGATAGTCTTATTGGATTTAACAGAGGCGTCAGAGGAAGTATCAGATGAAACAGATTCAGTGTCCGTTGGATTTATTGATTTGTCTTCCGATTGCATGAAGTGTTAATGACAAAGATAGTCGGATCGTGTATAGAGTCGATTAATATCGAGACTCCCGCTACCATGTGAAGAAGTGACGTTTGAGAGCGTTGAAGCTAACAGTTGGCTAAGCCGTGCAGAAAAAGACCACCTGGGGAAATCAGGTGTAGGTGAGTACAACGGCGCAAGCCAAAAACAGAGCTTCAACGAGCTTCTGAGAACTAAGAACACACCTGGGGAAATCAGGTGTAGGTGAGTACAACGGCGCAAGCCAAAAACAGAGCTTCAACGAGCTTCTGAGAACTAAGAACACACCTGTGCGTTTAGCAACAGGAAAAAGGTGATCAAGTGAGATTTGATAGGGAGAATGTAAGTAAAAATTAATAGTTTCTTTCCGATCATTGTAAAGCATGAATACTAACCCGGGGAAATCAGGTGTAGGTGAGTACAACGGCGCAAGCCAAAAACAGAGCTTCAACGAGCTTCTGAGAACTAAGAACACACCTGAATTCACACACACATTAGTACGAGAAATAAAAATGAAATAGTAGAGGAAAAGAGAAAACAGACAAACCTGTGCGTTTAGCAACAGGAAAAAGGTGATCAAGTGAGATTTGATAGGGAGAATGTAAGTAAAAATTAATCTGAAGGTCGACGATAAAATGTAAGTATGTGGTAAAACAAGTTGCAATAGTTTAAAGAGAAAGACCACTTACAGTTTCTTTCCGATGAGGAAAGAAACTGGGTGGTACAACTGTGGTCATTATATATCTAACTTAACTCGTAACTTGAACAAAGTGAACGCTCGGGCCATACTACTCAAATCTCAGGTCACAAGCGACCTATTCCCAAACAGTCACAAAAAGAAAAAGAAATTGTACAATTAATCCCAATCCATATCCTTCTCACTCTTCATTTCCAATTGTCATAACATAATAACTCCTAACTCATCGACCTGAAGGTCTTGACTCATCTTGAACGTAAATAGAAAGTTGTCACATATTTCTTCTCTCAGGAATGGAGACAACAAGGATGCAAATGTGGTATACTAATACCACGACAAGCTGTAGTTCTAATTACTAGGTCAGAGGTTTCTTCTTCAGATTGTTGTTCGAGATTGTTGCTCATCAGAGCTGTAGTTCTAACTACTAGGTCATATTCCAAGACTCCAAAAGCATTCATAGCTTTGATTTGGATGGACGGTCCAAGACTTTTTCAGAGTTAAGTTCAGTCGGATCTTGAGGTTGTTAGTGATGGTGTTGAGAGAGACCCAAGTACCACTTTGATGGTACACAGCACGCCAATACTCATCCAAATAGAGGCCAGGGTTCCCATCAAGTAGCTCAAGCATAAAGTCCCGGTCTTCATCGGTCAACTTGGTGTTCCTGCCAAGCTTCTCGTAATCATCGGGATTGTGAACCACCGCGGCAGTGCGTCGATAAAGCACGTGCCATTGTGAGATGGTGCGCGGGCTAACTGGTGATTTCAAGAGACGTTGTACGTTTGCAATTGTCTTGCCTTCTTGGAGGTATTGCACAGCTAAGACCTTCAGACCAGGGTCATACTTTCCAGGCTGTAACTTCTTGGCTAGGGGATGGCACAACATGTCAGCATAAATGTCAGTGGTGGTGAAGAAAGAAAACTAACGTACTTTGGCCCATGGGGTACAAATTGGGCAGTGGTGGTGGAATTGGCAATTGTCGTTTCCGAGGTGTCAAAAATAAGCGTAGGGGATTGGAGCCAATAGGGGGGCTCAAGTCAAAATATTTTACTACTTTTATCGTAAAAAACTTTTTTGAGCAGCAAATATACACAAATTTGTGTAAATCTGCTGCTCAGAAGGAGATCCGAAAGAAATTTTTACCGCCCTTTTTTACGAATTGGGAAAAGTTTTCACAGCACGGTATTGTAAAAAGCTTTCCCCAATTTTTTAAGAAAAGGCCGCAAATTTTTTGACTTGAGCCCCCTTAATACCCACGGGGCCCACATTGAGCCAGGTGGACCTTGTTGACCTAACCAAGCTGTGGTTAGAAGCATATGCTTATACATGTGCGCTGTATTGGCGCGTGGCGTTTCCAAAAAAGAGTTGTGGTTTTTTGTTCATGACACGAATTTCATGAACAGCCGTAAAACTGAAAAAATACCAGAGATGCTCATAGCTAGAGTAATTCAATAATTGGGACCAAAGATCTACTCAATCCTAATCCCGCAAACAAGTGATGATTGTGTTTATGATTGTCATCAAGGAAGTCAACTCCCAGCACTTCATATTCCATCTCGCTACATGCTAAGGCTTGCTCAAGATCAGACGGACTTGGTTCAAGTTAACTTTGAATTACCCGTCGTAGAGCTGGATTTTGAACCTGCTAGCTGATACCATGCCCATATCTATCATATCCATTCTGAACTTTTTTTTGAAATTTGACAAATTGCAACATTTTTTGATCAAGAAGGCTTCCTGGATATATTTGACGGGCTAAACTGCGCGCACTTTGAGCGAGAATTTCGCTGCAACAGCGCGCGCAGAGATTTCAAAACGACCGCCCGTCAGTCGGAAGTGCAGGTACACAAAGAGTCGTCCCCCTTCTTGCGCAATGTGGTGCGCGCCCTGTCCTCAGACCCGCTGCGCCCATCACCTGGAAAAGCCACACTCGATGGTGTCTCTACAAGTGCATAGCCTTATCTGGCCCTCATGTGTAGCTTCATTTATTTACAGACTCGTCTACAATTGAAAAAGCCGATCACAAAACATAGGCTTCGAAGGAAGAAAGTAAAAAGGCAGTGAAGTATAAACGAAAGGAAACATCGATCTATCTCAATATATAGGTGCCTCAGACTGATCACAGGATGTCTCTAACTAGATCGGGCAAAAAAAATCCAAAAGATGTATCTCGGCAAGTTGTACATCTTAGAGATAATAAGATAACATCTATAAGATTACTTGCGATACCACAAGACTCCCTTTCGACTTCTTCTCATCTTACGCTGTAATTGAAGCATACCGTAGAGTAGAGCTTCTGCAGTGGGTGGACATCCAGGTACGTACCTATAAAACCATAGAGAACGTAAATCACAAAACAAAAGACACAGGGCCAGGCTGAAAGGACTCACAAATCAACAGGTACGATCCTATCACAACCACGTACAACCGAATAAGAATAATGATAATAACCACCACCATTGGCACAACTACCCATACTGATCACCCATCGAGGTTCCGGCATTTGATCATATACCTTTCGTAGAGCAGGTGCCATTTTGTTGGTCAATGTTCCAGCTACAATCATGATATCAGATTGTCGAGGTGAAGCTCTGAAGACGACTCCAAGACGATCTTGATCGTATCGAGCAGCGGCCATGTGCATCATCTCTACGGCGCAACATGCTAATCCAAAAGTCTATTCGTGTGAAACCAAAGACAAAGATGATCTCAGAGTTCAGAAAGTGAGGACAACAGGAGAAGATATACTTACCATTGGCCACATTGAACCTTGTCGACCCCAGTTAACGATCTTATCGATCGTACTTAGGACATATTCCGCACCGTTTCCTAAAAAGTATCGTATTTATCAGATGGACAACGAAGGTGATCCAATTTAATGTGAGGACGACTTTGACTGACGTGGTGTTTCGAGACTGAGTTGATTACTCCCTTGTCTAGCTAAATCGAATGCAGGAGAATAAGGAGAAGGAGTAGATGCGATAGTCGGGGACTTGATCGAAGTAGTAGTTGAGAATGATTTCTTCAAAATAGATTTATCCTCTGAATAAAATTACATTCAAAGATCCCGAAGGAAAGGTTATGTATTCAGTGCATGATACTAGTGGTGGCTCGAAAACTTCAAAATCGGAGATTGGAAGCACACCAGATAAGGTTTCATCCTTTTTGAAGGAGAGAGGAGCCGAAGAAGTGGATGAGGTGGTCATAAAATGCCGACCGCTTAATGCTCGAGATTGAAGTGGTCCAAGAGCCTTGCTGCTAACCGATATGCCGGCTATGAATAAGTTTGTCAAATTAGTAACTCCATTGAGAAAATAAGATCCAATGAACCATATACGAACAGCAAGCTGAGCGTGCCCATAGACTGGAGGACATGATATCTTGATTCGAGGTTGAGGATTGAAGGATATGTTGGATGGTAAGGTAAGGAGACGGATAAAGTAGGGTTTCCGCTGTTGACCGTGAAGCTCGATTTCCAAAGTCGAATTGTCAAGAATAGGATTAAGCTTGATTGGTCAGTTTACATATAAGAATACAGCTTTATAGTCAGTGATCGATATGTATGTGACTGTTGAGTGAAACTACAGCTTATTGACAAAACACACACTTCATCCAAAAATGATGCTCAGCTTATCCACATCGTGCTCAGCCTATTCACACCATGGCTACTGAATCTTTCGTCACCCTTCTATTATTTGCATCTGCCCGGGATGCTATCCCCGATGAACCTCAATCGCTGGAGCTCCCCCTGCCTCACGTCGAATATGAAACGAGCTCTACAGTGAAGACTGTACGAGAGTCTCTGAAAACTCTTGCATTGTCAAATGGATGGGTAAAATTTCTCGTAAGATCAGTGATTCTAGCTCGTTTGGAATTTTATGTGCTGAAATGTTTTTTTGCAGGATGTACTCGATCGATCATTATTCGCTGTAGATGACCAGATGGCTCCGCTGGAACAGGAAGCCAACATTGCCGTTCATGCCCATCATCTCTTGGCTGTCATCCCTCCTGTCAGCGGAGGTTGATCTCCTTGATCACTGTATCAATCACCGGAGTAATTTATTATCTGAGTTCCGCATCTTAAGAAGTAATTCCAACATCACCTTCAGGCTTCACATCAATCATTTTTGGATCACAACCTCCAGTGCAGGATGACATATGAAGGAGCCATTGTATGATTTGGCAAATCAAATATCTAGTAATACTGATTCATATTTATATGACGTCTTGTAGCATCGCTGTCCTTTGATCTCATGTAACACTGATGAAATATGGTAAATTATTTCCCAAAGATAGAGACTGAATCCAAGCACTTTGACCTGCAGTATAGCGCATCCCCTAGATGTGAAAACAACAGGCACCGCATAATTTTTCTTCCTTGAAGACAAAAGTAAAGGTTTAAAGACCATATTGGGTAAACATTTCTGTTTTTTCCTTGGTAGTTGCTATTCTGTTCTTTGTCCAAAAGAATCTTGTTCAACTAGCTAGTGGTAGGGCAACAGGGGGTGCTTGCCTTCTGACCTAACACCAACTTCATTTCTTGCAACATCACAATTGACAAATGACTTGTTTTGCCTCAAGATGATTTAACTTTGTTTGAGCTTGTCTGAATTGACATAATATGATTATTGCTGTCATTTGCTGTGAACATTCAGGTTTGAATACATGATCAGGGAATTGGTATCAATTAATTTGAGTATTGGTATGATGAATATGCAAATTTGAGAAAGAAGATCAATCATTTAATCTTTGTATCAAGGTTCTAATCGGATGAAGACAATCGAAATGAATGAATGATACAAAAAACCTTCGGTATTTCATGTTTGAACCCATAGTCTTTAATTTTTGAAGCAGCATCTGATTCCAAGTGTTGAAAAAGTTGAATCACATCATCTTTGAAAGACATCAAGCTCAGTTGAGCTTAAAAGTGTTGCGATCAACTGGAGCGCACGAGAATGAAATGGAAAGGGTGGTTTCAATTTCATAAGTAACACACACAACATGAAGGAAAAAGAAAATACATACCTGGAGCGCACGAGAATGAAATGGAAAGGGTGAGGAAAAGAGACCCTTTCCTAGTGCAGCTCCAGGTTGTATATATACACAACACTACTACGTAACAAACATTTGTTAGTTATGTAAGAACTAGAGGATTCACATGATCCGTCATGAGAGATAAAAGAAAACAATGGACAAGAAGCAGTAGATGGAAAGCACACATGACAGATGACATAAGGAGTACGAGAGGAGTTCATCATGAGACATCAAGTATTTCAACACCCCCCCTTGCGTCCAGCTAGCTTCATCAAACAAATATCATAAGATAGCATAAAGAAAGAGAAAGAGAGTTTAAAGAAAAGAAAAAAAAACAAAAAAAAAAAAGGAAAAAGAAAGAGACAAAATTAGACCAGACCAAACATGGCTCTGTGACGCTCGAGCAAGACACGTGGTAGAGGCTTGGTAAGCATGTCTGCCAACATGTCCTTAGAGGATACATGTAATATAGTCACATCCTCATTCTTTACACACTCTCGGACAAAGTGGAATCGAGCGTGAATATGTTTAGTCCTCGAGTGGTGCTGAGGATTTTTCGCAAGAGCCTCCGCGCCTTCGTTGTCAACATGAAGAGGTATTGCTGATGGGGTTCTTATGTTTAGTTCAAACCGAAGATGTTTAAACCACATAGCTTCCCTACACGAGTCAGACATTGCTTTGTACTCGGCTTCGGTGGTCTGTTTCCGTGATTTCCACGAGATTGGACCATGCCCAAAACGAAAGGTGTAACCGGTAGTAGACCGACGATCGTGTCGATCCTCAGCCCAATCCGAATCCGAGTAGCCTGAGAAAGTAGCAGATCCACCCAGACAGAGTCGTAAATCGACCGTCCACGAGAGGTATCGAAGAACACGCAGACCTGCAGCCCAATGAGAGGCTGATGGGTCACGGAGATATTGAGATAAGCGGTTGACGGCGAATGAGACATCTGGTCTGGTGCATTGTGCAACCCAAAGTAGAGCACCAACCAGACTCAAATAGTGACCAGGTGAGGGTTCTTCCCCTACAGCTCGAGGAGTGAGATCTTTGAAAGCGGAATCAGTAGGTGTTTTGACCGAGATAGAGTCAGACGGTAAGAATCTGTTCATGAGTTCTCGTATGTAGTGTGACTGAGAGATAAAAACCTTTCGTGCAGGAACATCACGACTGATATCGAGAGAGAGGAAATGAGTTAGTTCTTTGTTTGACAATATTTCAAACTTCTTGGAGATGGCATTGATGATTTCTTGCACAAATGAGTCTTCACCGACAATCGCCAGATCATCGACATGAGCAGTAAGAGCTCCCACAAGCTTGCCATCAACCAAACGAAAATAGAGAGTAGGATCGTATTTGGATTGCGTGAGATTGAGAGTGATGAGAATCCTGTGCAGTTCCGCATTCCACAGCCTAGGTGACTGTTTCAGGCCGTACAGAGAGCGTTGGAGTTCACAAACCCAATCAGGATGCTCAGGATCTTCATACCCCTGCGGTTGGGTCATGTATATTGATTCTGTGAGAAGAGAATTGAGAAATGCCGACTTTATATCAATCTGCCTGCCTACCAACTTCTTGCATGCGAGAAGAGAGAAAACGAGTTGAAGAGTCTCCATCCGAGTAGTCGGGGAGAACACTTCAGAGTAATCTATTCCGTGAACCTGAGAGTAGCCCATAGCGACTAATCGAGCTTTGAGCTTGTCAAGAGATCCATCAATGTTTTTCTTGACTTTAAACACCCACTTAGACTTAATGATTTTCCGCTTGGCGGGACGTGGTACAAGTTTCCACGTACCCATTCCGATGAGAGTGGAGAATTCACTGTCAGCAGCTTTTAACCACTTCGACTTGTTGGGAGAGCAAAGTAACTGTTTCCACGTTCGAGGAGTATCAATAGATGCAGTTTCATCTGTTACTAAACCTGCCCAGTTGCCAAATCGATCGGGAGGTTTCGTTGAACGACCAGAACGACGAGTAGGAGGACCAGGTTGTTTGACTGACTTCTTGATAGATGCCTTAACAGGCTTGGTTGAGTTGTCTGGGACAGATGGCTGACTGGAAGATTCTTCCATTGGAAGAGGCGAGGGCGACAAAGTAGGAGGTTCTGCTTGAGACGAGGGTGTTTCCGGAATTATTTTGGGCACAGTTGGTATTGAGGGCTCAGCAGGAAGTGGCATGCGTTCTTGTGGTGCATCTTCTGAGGAGGATGATGGACTGTTTATCCGGGGTGAGCTACCAGGTGAATCTGACGAGATAGTTATTGCTTTAGGAGATGATATTGGTGAAACAGCAGGTGTTACAACAGGCGTAGGAGCAGGTGTTCGAATAGGTCTGCAACGAGGAGCGTGTATAGAGTTGGAAAGACGTCTTTCGCGAAGCGCGCGACGCTGTCCTTCCGTTAGAGATGGAGAGGGAGAAGACACGTAATCACTCGGCCAGGGAATATCAGCTTCAATGGACGGGGGAGAGCAAGAAATAGTTGAGGAGTAAGGAAAGATATCATGACAAAACAGGACATCTCTCGATTTGACAACTTTTCGATGTCTGAGATCCCACAATCTGTACCCGTTCCCATCTGACAGATATGACAATAGTACAGCAGCTTGAGCTTTTTGGTCTAGTTTCTTCCTGTTTGCTTCAGGAACTTTGTAATAAGCTTGACACCCAAAAGGAAACAGGGTGGAGATAGATGGGTCAGGTAGAGATAGGATTGAATTTGGAGAGTGGAATCCAGCCGGCGTATAACACGGTATGGAGTTAAGAGTGTGTGTGAGGTAACGAAGAGCATCAGCCCAAAAAGTCTTTGGCATTCCTGACGTAACAAGTGAACATCGCAGATGATTCCCTATAGTTCTGTTTGAACGCTCAGAGACACCGTTGAGTTCCGGAGAATGTGGAGGGCCAGGATTGTGTGTAATGCCTTTGTCGATGATGTAGGCTTGCATTTCTTTACCAAGATACTCGCCACCGTTATCGGTACGTAAGGACTTAACATTGAATGAAGTGAGATTACAGAAAACAGCACAGAAATTCTTGAAACACATAAAGACTTCCGACTTGAGTTTGAGAGGATAGATGACAGTGTACTTGGAATAGTCATCGATAAAAGTAACAAAGTACCTGAACCCCTCACGAGATGGTGTTTCAAAACTAGCTACATCAGAGTGAATTAGATCCCCGGGATGAATTGAGCGATAAGGAGATCTAGAGTGAAAGCTCATTCGCGACATTTTACTTTTAACGCAAATATCGCACTGTTGAACCTCGATTTCATTCAAAATTGACGGTTTTACATCATGAGTCTTCAGGACGGCTTTCAATGGACAAAGACCTATATGGCCTAGTCGACAGTGCCAATCAAATAAGCTAATGTCAGCTTTACTTGAGAAGCATGAGATAGAGGGAGAGGTGTCAACTTTTTCAGGAAGATAGTATAGGTTTCCTCTTCTAACACCGTTTCCTACTGGTAAGGAGTCCGAGAGATTATCGGTCGATCAATGAATGCGGCATCCGTCTTTGGTAAATACCACCGAAAAACCATCATCGCAGAGAGACGAAACAGAAAGTAATGGTTCTTGCAGATCGGGGACAAAGAGTGATTTGTGACCGATTGAACCTGATATGCCGAGTTGAGCCGTGCCAGAGTGGGTAGCATAAATTACCGAGTTGTCTGCCAAGTGGATAGACCTCGTAGCAGGAGTAAGTCCCGAGAGAGATGAAGAGTTTGGTGTCATGGTTGATGAACACCCAGAATCGATATTCCACTCTTTGAGACGGGATATCCTCGCAACATCAACCAATGCAAACTTAGCTTGTGCAGGGCTTTCGTTTTCTGATTCAGATTCACTAAAACCTAGCGAGACAACAGAGGTTTTACCGGCTTTTGACGATTGAGGCTGAGGTCGAGAGTGAGAAGAGACTTTAGAGCCTGACGGAGTCGTCATAGATTTACGCTCCTCCAGAATCTTGTCCAACACCCAGCAGTGATTAACATCATGATTCGTTCGTTTACAAAAGGAGCAGAATTTAGCGTTCTTAAGTTTGCGGTTGGTCTGACACTGATCTAATGATGCGGTTTTGTAGGATGGAGTCGAGGATGAGTGAGATTTGAAAGCCTTTGAAACAGATACGTGTCCTGATGCATTTC